CTCTCTCTCTCTCTCTCTCTCTCTCTCTCTCTCTCTCTCTCTCTCTCTCTCTCTCTCTCTCTCTCTCTCTCTCTCTCTCTCTTCATCTCTGTCTTTCTCTCTTGCCCTCTTTTGTGTTCCAATGCCCTCTGAAATCCCGCCGAGACCAGCTCTGACCTGCGCTGCACACGTACACCTCTTCGTCCTCTTCCTCCTACTCCTCACCCTATGACCACCAAACCTGTTCCGCTTGTGGTTAACTCCTCGGCATATAAGGGACAAGTCACTTTTGCCCCGTTTGTATCTCTACCTTCAAGCTCGTCCTAGCGAGAGTACCGAGAGATTCCTTCTTCTCGTGTAAACCATCGCTGGTGCCCTCATTCAATCTCTAGCCACTGCATGATGGCCTACCCAGTCAGTTTTGAGGAAATGGGGCATCAGGCCACGATGGATGCGAGTGTTGATGAGATCGCCCCAGAGGTAACGTCATTATTTCTCACCATCCCAATACTCATGCCCCTTCCCCCCTCCCCCCTCCCCCCTCTCCCCTCCCCGTTCCTCATCCACATCACCCGATTCCCTTTCGTTCTATCTGTCTTTGCTCCAGGGACGACTAAGGATGATACATGTGCTCTTAATTACCCTTTGATGAGCTTTCGATCGTGCAGACGAAGCGACAAGTATTATAGGGATACGCCACCTTCCCTAGCCTAGTATCATCCTATTTTGAGATCTACCAACCCTTTGTGTGGTAATATGGCAGTCTTACGTCAACTCTCTTCCCATTCGTCCTCCACCCTTATCCCTGGATTTACTCACTCATCATGATTTTGCTACGTTGTTTTTATTTCTGTTTTGCATTGGTGTGATGTGTGCATTTCAAAGACATTGATCGCATCTCCTCGAGGCGGGTGATTGTGACGATGGGCAATGAACTCCGGAGTGGGCAGCTGTCAAGTACTCTGTGCATATGCTGCCGGCAACTTTTTCTGGCTATCGCCGTCCCTGCATTTTTCTGAAGTCTGCCAAGGGATTTAGGGGACTGTACATACTGTCGATATTTTGATCAAGGAGGAGCTCTGCAAAGGGCCGTGGCAATCTGTGGAGATTTATTAGGGATTAGAAGATATGTGGGGGTTGGGACGTTGTGCTACTCGACGATGGAAGCCTGATGGGAGAAAGGCTGAGGGGTGAGGCAGAGGCTCGTACCTTAGTCAGAGCGGAATGGGACAAACAGCGAAATTGCTTCACCTATTCCATCGACTCCTTTGCTTTGTTGGTCGTTGACAAGGGGCGGCTGAGTTCTCTCCTTTGCTTCGAGTCGGTGCCAAGAAGAAAACGCCACGTGTATATAGAGAAGGATCATAATTTCTCACGACCCTATTGTTGCAATAATCTCTTTACAAGCATGGTAATTGTTTACGAATTTTTAGCAGGCATCTTTGAGCATCTGCGTATTATAGAGACTCAGAGGCAGTTATTGCCTGCAGTGGAAGAAAGGTTGTGCACCTCAGGGCTGCAGCTTGGAAGTCTGGCCAATCGGGGATGAAATGGTGATGGGCGATTAACTATTTTTCTTCGATCTTGTTTCAGTCTTAGACTAGTCTTAGGAGTGGTAGGAGCGCATTTTGGTGTGGGTAATATTCCACTTTGGACTATGCTGCGCGGGGTTGGGATGGCTTGATCCTGTTACAACGCCTAGCTACTCTTTAGTCTGTAGATGTCCTGACATCCCGGATTGCTGCATTTGCTTCGGTACTATGCCAAAGAGTGTGACCATAATTCCATAATATGGAGGCGCTCTTTCCCTCGCTCTCGCCATCCCTTTCTACCCTTCTTTTACCCGCTTTCCCATCCTTGTTTTCACTCCTATCATCTGGACTCCCTCAGCATACCCGGTCTTCCTAAATGGCCTGATCTGTCGCAGAGCTCAGTGAATGTGTGTTCTCTGAATTCTTGAAGATGAGCACAATATATTGTTTGCGTTCACCAACTGTTTTCAGCAATGAATCACCCTTGAGGTTGAGTAATTTCCGTTATCCCGTAAACGTTTTCTGATGATTTGGAGCATAGTATCTATGTTGAGGTTTAGTATCTGCGCCTCACCCAGCTCACAGCAGCGCAGCTCGACTATGGCTGCCTGCTCCTTCCTGCTCGCCCGTGAGCGCGTGAGTGCCAGCCAGCGCAGCATGCAGCCAGCACCCGAATGCCCTGTGCGGAGGCAGGCCCTTTGCTATATGGAAGTGGCCTGCCTGCCTACTGTCCCAGGCTGCGCTGGGCCTTTCCCAAGAAGCTTCCGGTAGGCCCCGGTAGGCTAAGGCCCAGTACGATTCAGAACAGGCCTTGGGCCTTGGGCCTGAGGTGCCCAACTGCCTTGGGCCTGTGTTCGGCCCATCCCCCGTATCCAGCCCAGGGCCTGCTCTCAATACATTCACACAGGCGGCCCAGGGCCTGGATTCTTTCAACCAACTGGCGCTGCGCAACTGCCTGAATTTCCTTAGTTGCGTAGTGCCCAAAATAGGGGCCCTGAGGTCCTTGTCGAGCCTGCCTTCACTTAGGGCGGCCGACGTACTGCTTGAAGGGCCTGAAAGGAGCTCACAGAGGCAGTGGCCTTACATTCCCTCCTCCTTAGCTTCAACAGTCCTCTGAGAAGCTCAGTCTTCAACTATAGGGCGTTTCCTTTGTGCAGAGATCTCTCGTATTGTGTTACAACTTGCGGAGCGGTCTGCATGAGTTCCTCTCTGGTGAACCAGCGGTCCTCCTTTGGATCAGTATGATGGGGGAACCGAACGCGGTACTGCAGCTTCGGTTTCGGAGGACGTCCCCTGCCTGTTGGTCTTGGAACTGGAAGCTCCCTGTGGTCCACGATATCATCAATATCCACTTTTCCGTCCATGGTTGGGGGCAGCATTGAGCGACGAGAAGGGAACTGTTCTGTTTCCCTGAAAGGTGCAAGCTTGGAGGCGTGAAAGACAGGGTAGGTACGAAGATGACCAGGGATCCGGACTACATAAGAAGGTCCAGCCGGATCTGTCCCAACAGTATCTAGGACTTCCTATGGTCCAAAGTACTGTGGCATGAGTTTACGGGAGATCCCGTGCTCCTGTCCCAGTTCTGAGGACTTAACCCATACTCTATCTCCAACCTGGAATGAAGACACACGGCGGTGTTTGTTCTCAGATTCTATCATTGCCGCTTGTGCTTTTTGCATTTGTTCTATCACCTGCTGCATCTTCTGTTCGTACCTATAAGCAAATTCTAAGGTACCTGGTGCAGCAGATGCCTAGTTCTCAGGAAAGAGAAAATCTAGGGGCAGTCTTGGCTTGAAAGTCAGTAGTAAGCTGTCCAGGCTCACTCCGGTAGCGTTGTGTACCGCGTTGTTGTACAGGCTGGCGATGAGAGCAAGCTTCTCATCCCAGTCCACCTGGTTGGGCTTGATGTAATGCCGCACCAGGTGTTGAACAGCGCGATTCAATTGCTCGGCTTGGCCGTTGGCGTCTGGATGATTCCCAGAAGTCATCTGCAACTGTGTGCCCTGTACTGCAGCGGCGGCCTTCCACAACTCACTTGTAAATCGGACATCCCTGTCACTTACTATGGACTTTGGTAACCCGAAATCCCTGACCCAGTGCTCCTTGAACAACTTGATCACGTATTTAGTTTTCGCTGTTTCCGACATTGCTATCAATCTAGCAAACTTACTAAATTTATCCACGATTGCGAAGATGTGTCTCATCCCACTCTTGCTGGTGATTAATGTATTTATAAAATCCATGGACAAACTCTCACCAGGCCTTTTCGGAATCGGAAGGGGCTTGAGGAGCCCAAGAGAAGCCTGAGTACATGGCTTGTCCCTTTGACAGACCTGGCAAGTCTCAACGTACAGCTGGGCATCTCGCATTATCGTGGGCCACCAGAACTGCTGCAGCAGGTTAGCTGCGGTCTTCTTATACCCAAAATGGCCGGTGGCGTCATGACACTCGCCTAAAAACAAACTACGCAAAGACTCTCTATTGGGAACATACAATCGTTTATTCCCTGCCTTCTCAAGGAACAACAAGCCATTGACCAACTCAAACTTGGCAGAGGTCTTTTTGTCCTTCGCCTCTGGTTTGCGTATGATCTCTGACATAAACTGGTCCTCATGGTAGGCTTCCACCAATGAGCGAGTGACATCATCCGTGAGTGCGAACTCAGTTATCAGCGCACTTGAGAAATCAGATCTACGCGATAAGGCATCAACAACCTTGTTGTACTTCCCTTTCAGATATTGGGGGTCAAAGTCATATTGCTCAATGACTTCGATCCAATGCTTCAAAGCGTAAGAAAGTACTGACCGAGTTCTCATCCATCTCAATATCTAATGGTCAGTCATGAGGATGAAGAACCTCCCAAGGAGATAGTGCCTCCAATGGGTCAGAGCCTTGTACACCGCATAGAGTTCCTTCTCATAGGTGGACTTTGACAACTTCTAAGATGACATCTTTTTGGACATGTACTCGACATGCCTCAACTTTGGCCCCTCCTGCTGTGCAAGCATGATGCCAATGCCATATTGGCTGACATCCATGGTGACTGCAAACGGCTTGTCAGGACCGGGAAGTTTCAAGACCTCGTAGTGCGTCAAGGCATGCTTCAAATGTCTGAAAGAAGCCTCGCACTCGTCTGTCCACTCCCATGGGGTGTCAAGGCGGGTCAGATCAGTCAAAGGAGCGGCCACTATGCTRTAGTTCTTAACGAAAGTCCTATAGTAGCCTGTCATCCCTAAGAAAGATCTCATCTCAGTCACAGACTGAGGACGTGGCCAATCACGAATGCTGGCCACCTTCGCGTCATCGGGCTTCAACCCTTCCGCGAAGATCTCATGACCCAAGTACAAGACACGGGTGCGGCCAAACTCGCACTTCTCACTGTTGATCTTGAACTTGTGTTGTCGCAGGAGACTGAGGACTTTACCCAGGTGTGCAACGTGCTCCTCGACAGTCTTACTGAAAACAAGTATGTCATCGAGGTACACGATGACAAACTTATCCAAGTAGTCATGAAATATCCGATTCATAGCGCTGAAAGGTGCCAGGAGCATTGCAAACACCCAAAGGCATCGCCACAAACTCGTACAGACCGTACCTGGTCTGGAAGGCGGTTTTGTGTTGATCCTCAGGTCGGATTGCAATCGGATGGTACCCGGACTCCATATCTATCTTACTGAAGTACCGACACCCTTGCACTCTATCTAACAAGTCATCGATGCGCGGTAGGGGCTCTCTGTTCTTCACAGTGATGGCATTGAGGCCCCTATAATCAATGCACATCCTCAAAGTGCCTCCCTTCTTACAAACAAACAGGACAGGAGACCCATAAGGAGAGACACTTGGTCAGATCCAACCCTTGTCTACGAGTTTCTTGAGTTGGTGGCGTAGCTCATCAAGCTTGCCTGGAGACATCCTATAGATCCTACCCTTCAGGATGCTAGACCCTGGGATAATCTCTATAGCGTGGGCGACCTCTCTCTCAACAACCCCTGTTGGCTCTTCAAATAAATCAGGGTATTTGGCAACCACTCCCTCTATCTCCGGCGGCATTTTCACCGGCTCACTTGCAGCAGAGACGTAAACTAGATACATACCCTCCTCCTGATTTTGCTTATAATAATTATAGAATGCGGCCGCACACATGCATTCGTGGGACTCAATCAGACTACTAGCTTTGAACTTATGTAATCTAGCGGTCCCTTCACCTGGCAAAGTGTGTTTGACCACCTTTCGGTCCCAGTCGAACTGGGGCTGTGCAACCGAGAGGTAGTACATACCTAACAATATGTCCATTGGGAGATCATCGCTCACCAGGAATGAGACACGATGCCTCAATTCCCCTCCCGCGTACGGAAACAGGCACTCAACGTCCTGAAGGTAGTCATTAACTACTATGCGTTGTTTGTTGGCACAGGTCGACTCCACAGGTCGACCCAAACGCTGCACTCGCCCCTGTAAGCACAACCTCTCAACGCACGCGCGACTAATGAAATTCCTCGTCGAGCAAGTGTCATAATAGGCCCCGGTCTTGCGACCACCAATGACTACCTCACTGACGAACATCTCAGCCTTAGGAGCTTTGACTAGTGCCGTCCAGGAAGCTAGTGGGTCTGACTCCTCCTCTATCTCCTCTAAGGACTCAAACGCATTCATCGAACAGAGGGTCGATGGGTGTGAATGTGTTTGTGGGACGACGGTGGAGTCAGTAGCTTGGGCCATCTCTCGAGATGGTGAGGGTGTGTCCACCACCTCGGCCCTAGCAGGAACAACTACTATTCCTACTGGCCCAACGTGTTTCCCGGAGCAGTGCCTGAAGTACTGGCAACATTGCTACCAACAAGAACGGAGGATCCTACCGCCTGCCCCATAGTAGGCAGGATCTTCTCGGTAACCTTCTTATTTCGGCACTTGAATTGGTTATGGCCATATTGACCACAACGAATACAAGCTTGCCGGGTGTACCGCTCTCTCCACACGTCCTCTGTGAGACCCGCTTTTTCCCATGGAGGAGCATTGGGGTCGACTTGACTCCTGGACCGGGAGCCTCCTCGGTGTTTACCAGTCCCCTTACCTTTTTGTGGTGTTACGGCAGCGACTACTCCACCCTCTGAAGCCTCTACGCTGCGTCTATGAATACCCCCCGGAGGCGGCCATCCGCGGACGAATCCGCGGACGCGGCCAGTCCGCAGACCCCGCGGACGCGCGGCTTTGATGCCACGTGGCGGCCGCGCGGGAGCATCTTTGGGAGATCGGGAAATGTCACGTGGCGGCGCATCCCCGGCCCCACCCCCCCACACAAAAAACCAAAAAAATGAACTTTTTGGATGGGGGTTTATGGGCGAAATCGAACGAAAATGAAAAAAAAAAAAAAATG